TTTTCAAATGTCATTTTACTGTTTCTGGGGCTTAAGCCTGTCCTGTTGGAACTTGTATCAAAGAACAGAGTTTTCCTGTCTAAGACAAAGAGTGCCGACTATCAATGTTGTTTATTGGCAAAATTTGACCTGTGATCTGTGGGACATGGAAAATTTAATATACAACTAAGCAGACAAGTGATGTGAGCACACGAGCATGTGGGCAATCATGCATGGAAGTAAGTGACAGGCATGCAAGTTGTAACCTTGTATTGGTGCGCACTCTTGTGAAACAGAATTTCTGTGTTATCGGATTTGTGCACATTCAGTTCAAAACATTTCCGTTATTTGCATTCATAAACTAGTGTGCAGGCTCAATGGGTCCTCTCTTGGGCCATGTCAGAAACCGGCTTCTGGAACTAAGGCTAAGTCTTTTGTCAGCAAGAATCCATGCATTTACAAGTGGATGAAGACCTAGACTCAGCTCTAGTCACTAGATTTGGATGCAGCCTTCAGGGGCAGATCCATTTTTTCATAAGGGGGGGCGTGAGCTGAAGCAGCAATGGTATAAATACCCATGAGTGCCAGCGTGAAGCCCTTACAGCGTGGGGTTCAGGGCCCACTAAAGGAAATTTTGGCACCCTGTGGTGCAGTTTCAGGCAGTATGAATCCTTTTTTCTTCTCTATCCGTTTTTCTTCTTTATTTATTCATTTTTTTGGTGATAAAAGGGAGGGTGTGTGCCCCCATGCACCCCCTGGCTCCGCCCCTGGCCTTAGGTCTTGTTGGTCATATTTGCGTACACATCTAGTACATGTACATCCAGCATGTGTCTCCTTTTTCGTCCTTTGTAGGATCAAGTTGAGTCAGGAGTCCCACTAAGGGTGTGCCTCAGCAAGTTCTCTCGGTGGCTGACAAAGCAAGAAAGTGAGAAGAACATTGCTTATAACACAGGAGACGATGGCAAGAAACTTTGCACATTCGTCACCTGGTCAGGTAGGTCACACTTACATTTCTTGCTGGCTCCTCTTCAGCATTGTATCTGGATTTCAAGCATTAGATATAATAGCACTTCTATTGTAGTTGGACTGTTCATTAACCCTAACCCTCCTCAATCCTTCACCTGTTGGAGGATTGAGGAGGGTTAGGGTTAATCAAATTTAGTCATACATGTATCACTATAAATCTGAAGTTGATATTGTAAAAAGCATCCATGTTTGAGAAGTTTTTATACGATCCTAACTTGTTAAGAAAGGAATATTTTATATAGTCACAAGTATGTATGTTTGACCCAATTTGTTACCATTAATGGATGTAAAAACATATCTGTCAGATTAAAAGCCTTTAAATAAGAAAAATACAAAAAATTCTTCAATTGTAGAGCAGAAGCTCTGATCACCTCATGTCAGCAAATCAAAATCAAAGGTGTAGAAATCAAGTTTGATGATTCAGATGCCATTGGGCATGTATGTAATACAGCCAGTGTCATTTGGTTTTCAGCAAGTTTTAGACAAGATATTTTGACAAGAAATCTTTGACTTTCTCAGACTTGTTTCATATATGCGTCTCATTTTTGATGCTGGCTTTCCTCATTTGAACGTCTACCCTTTTCTCCACTGATTCAGATTGGGATTTGAGTGTTTGTCTTCATTATGAATGTCGTCGCAAACAGCTCCTCAAGCCCCCAGCTCTTAATAGCTGGATTGATCTCCGGGCAACCTACAAGGTATGTGTCACCTTCATGGACAAACTATGGAGGACATTAGCTGCGTTGCTGTGCTTGGACTCTCTCTGTGTTTACAAATCTTTAGAGAACTGTCACAAATAGAAAGTCATAATGCTTGTATGTTAGACTGTTAGATGTTGTGTGATCAGTTCACAGGGATTATCCATTTTTATTGATCATTCTCTTGGCCATGCAAAATATTCTTAACCTCTGACCCCTCTCCTGAATGAAGACAATGACGATTACCAGCCATTATTTTTCGGCAGGTTATGAGAAATGTACACAGGCTGTTAACCTTTGCCCCTGCGTGTGTTTTGTATCGTTGTTTGCTTGTGAAACTGACTGGAAAATGGATTATTCCTTAAGTCTTAGAAGAAAGAAAATCTTTGTTGGCAATGTGATGTTCTAACGTGGTTATGTTCACTTTGTTCCAATCTTTTTGCCAGAATTTCTACAAGCGCAAACCTAATGGATTGCACGGTGCCCTACAGGACGTTGGCATAGAGTTCCATGGCAGACAGCATTCAGGTAACCAGAAACATAGCCATCCACATTTCTCAACTTCCCAACAGATTGATGGGATATATTTTCCAGGACTAAAACAAAACAGGGGCACATCCCGCCGATCTGTCAAGTACAGGAATTGTCTTAAGTTCAAGGATAACATGCTCAGCAAATGAACTGAAAGGTCGAAAAGCCTCGGTTATGAGTGATTCTCAGAGGCAGCTACCATAAGTCAGCTATCTTATTTGCATCCAAAATGTCACTCTTTACCAGAAAGTATGACGGCACATAATTGAAGCTTTCCAACTCTAGGCTGTTCCGGAATTAGGCACCAATACTGCTTTAGGTAGTAAGCCTGCATTGAATACCTCTTTGATCAGTGAACGTTGTGACTAGCCAATGCATGCGAGAGTACGTTGCCACCGTTGTGTTACCCCATTTCTCACCTGTTTCGTCTGCAAATTTTGCTTTTGGTCAGGCATTGATGATGCTCGGAACACAGCCCAGTTAGCCTGGCGCATGATGTGTGATGGATGCGTCATGTCAGTTACCCGTACCATGCCTGGGGTAGGTCACCAGACGATTCAAAGCAGACCGTAACATCAAGCAATCTGACAAACTTAGATCCTTGTAGATTTTACGGATAATTGTTCATTTTCATGATGTAAGAAATTGTTAGTCCAATCACACTCTGTAGTGATCTTCACTAACTTTGATACCGCAAGTGTAGACTTTGCATATTAGACTGTTATCAATATGGAACTTGATTGTAAAAGCCATTGTGAAATTATCAAGGATAAAAATTGCCTGTTTTGATCCAGAGAATAATTATGCTGTTTGTCGCCTGTTGTATTGTTATTGTGTTGTAATGTGTTGTTTTGTGATCATCTGAGAAGCAACATTTTCCTGTTTTTTACAGTTTAATGTAGCCTTTTTATTTTCTGTTCAATAAATTCAATTAATAAATTCATTTTCTGATTTATGTTACAGATAAACCTGTATTTTGGTTTGTGGTACTTTACTCTGTTTTAACTTGTCAGAGTTGTCTGTCTGTTACACTGTTTGTGTGTCTGTCTACGCTGCTCACCATCTGTGTCAAGGCAGCCAAGGCCAATTAGTTGCACTTTCTTCTTCCATAGGCACAGCCACCGAAACGAAAACAGACAACCCAACCATCAGACCAACCGACAAAAATACAAGTGAAGCCAAGCGCAAACAAAGAGAAGCAGAGGCCAGACAGTTTGTGTTTGAATACACACAGGCATGCAGAGCCCGAGGACAGACTGATTAGTCACACACAGGGTATCAACAACGATCTCTGCAACACAATCGAGCCTCTGTCGTCATCTATTCATTTCAGAATTTGGAAAGATGACACACAGCCGGCAAACATTCACAGCATTATCAGACCAAAGACTTCTGTACCCAGCACGGTCAGACATGACCGAGGAGATGATGAAATCGTCACCAAATCTAGCAGAGATGTGGCAATAGAAGTTACTTCTGTACAAACAAGTCTGGGAGCTCAAGTTCAGAATGTAAGCAAAGTCAGCGAGAAACGTTTGGACCGAGGAAAGCAGACTTCAGTTTTGAGGAGCACCTTGGATATTGGAAACAATCAAAACAACCACAGTGAAATCTGTGGCCGTAAACAAGTGTGCAGTGAAACCAGTGTTACATCAAGTGATGCTGGACTTCGGCAAAGGATTGTAACTGATGCCATGAATAAAATTTCAAAGGAGGTTGTTAGTTCGTCAGAAAATACCGGCAGTGCTGTTCAAAACAGCAGAAACCATCTGAAGTTGGTAGACTCGGCAAAAACAAGCCCACAGTCGGAGAACTTGTCAAGATCCCATCTACCCGGACCATCGTCTCGGAAGTCAGTCCACTATCAAGCACCAGTCATCCTCAAAACACCATCGAATACACCTGTGCATAGGCGACCGAGGGAGCCTTCCCCAATGAATGGATTCAGAACCCCCTACGCACCAGGATCTCACCACACTCCTGGGTCATCAACGTTCAGAACACCTACTTATTCAAGCAAAAAGCTCTCAACACCACCGCTCATTGGTGGAAAAATCACCCCTCCCATGTGCCAGTGTGGGCGGAGGGCAAAAAGGTGCACTGTCCAGTCACCTGGACCAAACATGAACCGAGCTTTCTACTCCTGCACTTCTAGGCGCAAGAGCAGCGAAGCAGGACTGCGAGATGTCACCAATGCTGGGAAGGGGTGCGGCTATTTCAAGTGGGAATCCGTGGTGCTGGCTGAGAAACAACAATCCTTTATAACCACACCCGTCAAGCAAGAGAGTTGCTGGTCAGCACAGAAACAGCCAGGGGTACCGTTAGATCCTGCTGCTACAGTAGAGAGGAAATGCCCAACTCCTTCATGTTCATCTGCAAAGATAGTGACTCCAATTACTGGATTCAGTGGGAAGAGACTTGGTACAGCGATGAGAGCTGTGTGGAGACATCAAACCAAGTGAAGCTTTAGATTGTGATGTGTGAATAGCAAAGGTCACCATTGGTCATTCAGTTAGGTCCCTCCATTTCGTCCAATTATAGAAACAAGTCAAGTGAAACCATACTGCATGAAATGGACTGTTTGCGTACCTGACAGCATTAAGGGTGAGCAAAAAGGCACTTGCTTTATGTGGATCATGTGCAATGTTTATCTTCCTACAATAAAGGCCAAATGTTGGCGTACTTCCTCAGTTTCGGCATTTTGGGGATAAAGTATTTGATATTTGAATTTATAACTGATTCAGCAGTTTTCAGTGCTCACTCCAGACTGTCTACATAAAGGAAAACACAGACTATTAAATGACAACATTTTTATGATTTTAACACCTTACATTTCAAACAGCTTTCTAAATACTAGTTTTTATTTACAAAACAAACATGTCCAGTATATGTGAATGACCATCACTACTTTACATCGAGAGGAAGAAACTATGGATACATTATATTCCTTCTTTTATGCTGTTCCTTCTTTTGCTACCTCCCTACATGTAAATTGACACCATTTCCACAAAATTTGCTGAGGCCCACTTAAGTGATTCGTAGCAGTTTTGGACCACTTATTCTTCACTCTGTATACAAGGCAATCGTTATGTGTCATTACCAATTTCCAGCTCTGGGCAGAAGTAATTAGTCATTTCATTCGATGAGCTGCATCCTGATATGACCGAATCTGAGACTGATTCAGAGATAACTGCAGAAATGACAATGGATTGATTTTGGTAGGTTCAAAAGTGTGCAAAGGCAAAACTGTAGAATCCTTAATTCCACTTTAACCACTTGCCAATGGTGGTAATTTGGGCAGAAAAAAAACAAGTGACCAGTTAGATCTCCAGACGGCCTCTTCAAACACAGCCCAACGTGGCAGAGACTGACTCTTGAAAATTGTACGCACAATACATGTTATTGTATGATACTTCTCACTGCAACCTGGGCCTAACAGCCTGCAACACTCCAAGGCTTGTGGATATTAGCTGAATTGAAGAAATATCACGGAACAGGAGACTAAAAAAGAAAACACTGTAGAAGGATTTGGAAATAAAGAAAGCAGGAAAAAAGCCACATCTATTTGGGGGAAAAAAAGATAAACACAAATGGCATCAGGATAAATGTACCTTCTTTCCTCATTTTAGTATCGATGTGTATTTGACATGGATATAAAACGTTACCTCATGCAAAGCCACATATAGAAATAAATTTAATGTTCATGCATTTGAGTTAATGTGGAACCACAGTACAAATAGTTTGGTTTCTTAATGGCTAGAATGTACATGTCTAGTACCACAGAATAAGCCAGTTAGATACTTACATGAAGCTAGGGTCTTTCGGGAACAAAGCATGCATGTAATCCAGCGTATGCCAGCACTAATAAGACAGACTACGGAGCGCGTTTGCTGCTGTTCAATGATTGGCCTCGGATGCACCTCAGTTTGGGAATGCACTCTTGGAATACCGAGCTAGCTCATTACGAATACATGAATATGCATGGCACTTAGTTTAAACCGTAACAATTGTTTTATTCATGTGCCAACTTGCCAGATAAAGGCATCTGATTATGGGATCATTGATTTATGATGCTGTCTGTTATTAAACACAGGCTTTCAATATCCATCACGGTTTTACCAGTTTTTAATTTTGATCTTTTTTGCACATGAAAACTGAGAACTCTTTTTGATGCTACAGTCATAAACGAGCCTTCTGTACATTAGATTTGGATACCTAGTGGCTGCTGAGTATCTTGATGGGATTTGCCGCCTCAAATGTTTCTGCCAAGTCCTTGTGGTAGCTGTCAATCTGAACGTGGAAAAAATACATGTAAAAGTAATTTTACCTGATGCCCTAGCAATCCCTAGCACAGGAAAAGTATGAGGTCACTGTGCCAATCCAGCGAGTGAGTTGATATAGTGAATATTCTAACTCACCAAGGGCATAGGTCAATGGTTAAGGCTTCTTGGAGCAGATAAGGCCTTGTCTGATAACTACACACATATGGCTATGGCTGCAAATTAACATGTGTCCTAAGGAAGCCAGTGGTGATATGCTGCAGTCATTTCCCATAGATATGTGTGATAACCCTAGCCACAGCCAGTCGATTGGAACATGGAGTCATGATGCTACGCCAACCATACTTACACTGTGCAGCAATGTTGAGTAACTCCCTCTGGCAGTGTTCATCTTGTCTGCATGACCACTCTTGGCTTCAGCAAACTGTTGGTTGTTGACAAAAAGATTAGATACATGTATGTACTCAATGCTGATTTCTTATTCCATACTGCCATTGTGATTCTTATGGAAGGGGCTTACATCAGTCACTCTAGGGGAGTATTAGAAGACTGTAGCATTTCCTGTTGAAAACTTCTGGAAATCTTTTGCCAAATTTTACCAAAATTTGAAATATCCATTCAGTGATACGTGTTTCAGTGAACAAAATAACAGCCAGGGCTCTTGCAAATTTTGATGGTGAAATGCATGGACCAACATGTCCTTGCTATTCCTTGAATGATGTGGTGCTAAGAACCAAACTTTCAATTCAAAATATGTCAAGCTTGTTACTAGCAGTTTGAAGGAAAATCTACAGGTAAATAAAAAAAAGGACCAAATTGGTTCAAATTGCCGGGTTTCCTGCTGAATATGCTTAGCTGCGTCCAACTTTGACACTTCCATCAGTAAAGAAATAGCCGTAAATGCGACACGGTGAGGAACTGAAATGCGACACGGTGAGGAACTGAAATGCGACACGGTGAGGAACTGAAATGCGACACGGTGAGGAACTGAAATGCGACACGGTGAGGAACTGAAATGCGACACGGTGAGGAACTGAAATGCGACATGGTGAGGAACTGAAATGCGACACGGTGAGGAACTGAAATGCGACACGGTGAGGAACTGAAATGCAACTAGAATCGGAATAATTTACCTGTTGTCGGACTTGGGCTTTCTTCTCTTCGATGGCAGCAATATGGTCCATTTTCTTCTGTTGCTTCTGTGAACAACTTGCAAGGTTACTGCATGAAGGAAAGGGTTCATATGAAAACACACAAACTTTAATTTTATTCATTAAATAAAGAACACTAACCAGTTGTGACGTACCGTCTCGGCAAATTATGCGCATGGGAGCATTTAAAGCATTAGACTTAGGAACCCCTTCACTCCAGGAACCGTTGACAGCCGCGGCTTTGTGTGAGGATTAGTGCATACCACACATATTTTCCATTCATCATGCACCTGCGGTTTCAATGTGGGCCTGCTGCTGAACACTGCTTTGCATATGCATATGGCAGCCCAGCAGTCGCAGTCAAAAGAATCCCAGGGTTAAGGGGTTAAATGTCCTTCATATAAGCACAGTTTTCAAGGCTTCCGACAGCAAAGACAAATTGGCAGACAGCTAACACTAAGC